ATGGGAGTTTGGGAGTTTGCTCGCACACGCGCATCCCCGTAAGGAAAGCCTGAGAAATGTTTCCCTCGTGGTATTGTTGCTATTTTAGTTGGTACAATTCATACGAGTGGCTGCACGTGTGCACGATAGGGAGAGAAAAAAACATGACCTTATGAAAATAAATGTGGCTCACAACTCTATCGTCCAAAATACAACAAAATTTGGTATAAAATGAAGCAAATGCAATGGTCAACATGTTTCGTGATTGTAGGTGGCCAAGCGGCCCCATCGCCGCTGTCGGACAACGAGAGGATGGCCCAGGCCCATAAAAGAAAAAAAGTGTCCGACTATTGGGACATTTCGTCTGCTTAAGTGAGCGAGTACTGGGACATCCACCTTAGTTGTTTCGTTTTTTGTGAGAATCGTTTTAATTATTTCCTTTATGCAACGCTTAATTTTTAGCTTCAGACAATCCGTTTCTTTGAAACTTTTTTTCTTTCATTTGGTTATCCATCTTCCTTTCTGGTTCATCCATATCCACTGGCTCGTTCTGGGGTTGATTGAAATCTTTATCGGAAGACTAATGTTTTTTTTTATTGCTCCCAGTGGGATTTCGGCCTAATCTTTGTTTCGATTAAGATAGTAGGGCTCAATACATTATTTTTGGTAAATAAATGTCATTCACCATTCACCAAACAAGTAGTATGTAAAATTAGTTAATGATTGAATTTCGTTAATGATTTAAAAAAATGTTCAGTACACGTTAAAAATTCAGTTGAATTGTTTTAAATGAGTAACCATTGTCAAAATTAGGATAGACGGATTTGAGAAAAGAGGTTGCATGAATCTCTTAAAAAATCAAGTACTAAAATTGAAAAAAAAAAATACATATTTAAATGTGTATAAAATATTATGCAGTAGATTTTATAGTGATTATCACAAGTAGTGATATAGTATTTTAAGTCAGATAAATTAACAAAGAATGTTAAAAAAAATCAATTTCATTTATCATGAAACGTAAAATAACTTTATTTTATCAAAGCAATTTCAAAATGTTTTCAAGTATACATAAAAAATATGTTTCAAAAATCATTTCAAGAAGTAACAGTCAATATTAAAAAAAAACTCTCATATAAAATTACTGGTGTCTGGCATAAAGTAATTTCTTTATCACAAAAAAAGTACGGGGTAAAAAAAATTTTTTTTTAAGAAATAAATTATTTCATGATGGTGAATATATTTGGTCCGACATGTTCAAGCAACGATACTGTAAAAAGCACTTTATAAGGTAACGTAATTTAATTTTGGGCGGAGAATAATTTCATCTTACGTAACACCGAAGACTCTGAGTATTCATTAAAAAGGACGAGAGCAATTTTCGGATTATACAAACCTAAGGAATCAGTTAGGGGAAGAACCCAAGTAGGTGTAATAAACGATATCGCAAAAGCTTGAAGGACATCACGGGGATCCACAAAAAGATCTACTCCGGGAATCAGAGGCATGAACCATGAGAAGAAATGGGACGATGTGTGAGCACAGCTGATATTTCCATTAACCTCAAGGGGAGCCTCCTGGAAGCTTTAACCTTGGGCTTGGAATCGTAGCTTGTTATCGGTGCCTAAGCACGTTGCGGCAGGGGAAATACTATAGCTACTTTTCCTTTTCTAATGTGCACTCATTCCCAGTGATCCAACGATACCAGCTTGTGTAACGTAAGGCGCCCTCGTAGTTTTTTTTAGATGTACATTTCAAATGAACAACGAAAATGCTACAAGAAATTTAATGGAAAAACAAAAAACATATTAAATGGGTATTGTGTATTTGTTGAACAGAATTTTTTATACTGCACACCCAGATGGTAAAATTCTTTAAAAAATTCTTATGTATTTTGTTTTCTGCAAGCTTATGGAATAATTTCATGGGGTGCAAAGCCTCTTTGAAATACTGCGAGATTTTTTGATGGTTAATACAACGAAATGAACAACAATAAGAGCAATAGGTAAAATCCTGGAAAAACAATTTAAATAACAGAGAGAAAGTTGTGAAAGTAAAGCACGAGACGCTTGCAAAAAAAGGAGAAAGGGTAGAAAATAGAAAAGGCGAAAAAATAACGATGAATGAGAAGCGGTGCAAAAAAGAGCGAATGAATGAAAAATGAATGAAACCGAAAAACAATTCGGAGCTAATGGAAATAAATCGAGTAGATGCGCGACACGCGTGTGGACTACAATATACTTTTTGGAGTCACATGCATCGAGCAAACTCCATCTTTCCACGAAAAATCCCATCACTATTCAAAACACTCCGCAACGCGGGAAAAGCGCCAAGCTTGTTGTGGGAGGGGGACAATATCGGATTATTCAAATGTTTATCCGTAATTGTTTATCACGCAAGCCAGTTCCTTCGTTAACTTCAATTCAGCAATTCTGCGTTCCCGACGTGTCCCGTTATAATCTCATTTCGGCGAGGCTCTTGCAAAAACAAGCTGGTTTAGTCACGTCGTTTTATTTGTCTGATAAGCTGGAAGTTTTTCAAATGACAAGCCAAACTTTGTTTTTCAATTTTTTCAACAAAATATTTATAAACTCACTATTTGGAGTTTAGAAAAAAATGTTTACTGAAAAAATTTTACTGCTTGTCTTGTATTGAATTTAAATCAATAACAACGTAAAATAGCATTTTTTTTTAAATCAAAAAACATTCTTTCCAAAATTCTTTATGAAATATGTTTGGTCCGTACAAATATTGTAAGTCAAATTTTTATTTTACCCAAGAAAAAGTTTTTTAATACGTGTGGGAAATTCATGAAAAAATGAAAAAACAACTTTTCTTAAATATGAATAATTCAAACGATGGAAATCACATATTTCAAATAATACAAATAACGCGACCTTAAAACAAAGTGTAAAATTTTTTGTTTGTCATGTAGCTAATTTAATTGCACTTTAAACGCCTTTGCAATAATATTGCGAAACAATAAAAAAAAACAGTTACATATGTCAACCAAACATAAATTTCGACAAAGTTTCCCTATCAATATACCCAGTAGCTTAGTTGGAGAGTATGGGTCAGAGCAGGTTTATTAATGAGAGATAAAGACAAGTCGGTGGAAAGACTGGGATTCATCTCTTTCTGTACGCACAACGCAGTCTACCCTGGAAACGGGTCATTAAGTGCTCGCCAGGACTGTCTCTCTCTCTCTCTCCCTCATTCTAGAAGAGAATAGAGAAATATGCAGGAAATCGCCTCTTCCATGAATATCAATTCCAGCAACTTTGCTCGTTTGATCGGGCAATCTCTCGTCTTTCTTCTTCTCTTCCCACTTGTGCTCCTCTTCCTCCGTCTCTTACGTACAATCTTCGCTCCTAGCTCGAGTTATGCTCTTCCAAAGTGCGTCTTTCAATGGGAGTTTGGGAGTTTGCTCGCACACGCGCATCCCCGTAAGGAAAGCCTGAGAAATGTTTCCCTCGTGGTATTGTTGCTATTTTAGTTGGTACAATTCATACGAGTGGCTGCACGTGTGCACGATAGGGAGAGAAAAAAACATGACCTTATGAAAATAAATGTGGCTCACAACTCTATCGTCCAAAATACAACAAAATTTGGTATAAAATGAAGCAAATGCAATGGTCAACATGTTTCGTGATTGTAGGTGGCCAAGCGGCCCCATCGCCGCTGTCGGACAACGAGAGGATGGCCCAGCAGCCGGTCAAGGTGGTGCTCACCAGCACCTGCCATCAGGCCTACTCCACCTGCAAGTGAGATAAAACAAGCTTATGTCATAAACTGTGTGCTTCTTGTTTTTACACTTTTTTTTAACATGGAATATTTAACTTACATTTCGTTACTAATTCCAGACCCCTTCCTCTTTTTACTATCTAACCCAGTATAATTTAACTGCAGCCTATTAAAAAAAAAAAAAAGTATCCATGGCTTTAGTATCACTAAAGACCAAAGCGCACTTCTTTCTTCCTAATTAGAAATTTCCTGACACTTTGGTCAATTATGTCATGTCAAGCCAAGTGTAGGTTTCAACTGATTATACAAGGCCCAAGAGAAATTACGTTTTTTTTACGACACCAAAGTAGGAAAAAAGAAAAAAGAAAAAAGAAATACACGTGACAATTGTTCGACAGGAGCGACGCGGAGTGCAAGTCACTGCTGCAGCCGGTGCTGAACCACTGCGAGCACTCGAGATGCTCACGTTCGGAGTGCATGGGCTCTTTGCAGCACTTCTACAAATTGGCCAACCACAAGCACTCGATCGAGATAGCTTTTTGCCTGTGCAGGTGAGCTTATCTTTCTAACCCTTTTTTTTTATTATTAGTCAATATTGGAAGTCCAACTGGCAAGGCTTCGTTGTTTAAAAATGAGTTGTAGGGAATACATTATTCACGGGGTAGTAATTCTTGGAACAAAGTAGGCAAGGGGTTGACTTCTACGAGGACCTGGATAATTGCATTGTGAACAGACCGTAGTTGGCTCATAATCACGTTGTGGTTAACAAACAGTACAAGGTGTGGTACTCAAAAAGTAAATAAAAATAGAAAAGAAAAAAGAATCTCTTTATCCGCTTGGGGGATTGAGGCAAATTAAATAGTCACATTAGGGGAGAAGAGTATCATTGGGTCGATCGGCGATTTGTCAGCGAAAAAATACTACAAGACGGGCTTGGCGACAATTGTAATAGCAACATTAAACCTGGAAATAAGATCAAGTCGTACGAGTGGAGGCGTCGAGGTGGAGACGAAGAGGAAGAGGACGTAAGCCGGGACAGCCTCTAAATTCGTGGGTGACATAAGAATGTACGTGTACATACAAATACAACAGCGATATGTGCTTCTGTGTGACAAATCGGGCCATCGACTCGAGAGTCTTACTTGGAAAATCCTCACCCAAGACGTTTGAGCAGCTGAACACAGCACCATTTGGGCTTTTGTTTTATTTTTTTCCTGCAGAACAGCTTATATACTAAAGTAAAACCAAGGTATCTCGGTTTTATGTTTTTTTTTATTTTTTTTCGTAAGGGGACTATTTTATGTTATCTTTCGATTGTTTAATTAAGTTATCGGTTCATGTTTCAATTGAATTCAGTGAAACATTATACTTGCTTGTCATGTTAGAAAATTTTATGGAAATTAAAAAAAAAAAAAAAATAATTGCTTCAATTCCAATCAAAATCTTCATACCGATAAAATAAAATAAAAAAAATAAAACAATTGTTAAGCGTATATCTCACCACATAGAGGGTAAAAATGGAGTTTTTTTGCATTCTGATTTATTTCTTATATCTCACTCGAGTCGAATAGTAGGTAGAAAGGTCGGAGAGGTGACTACGTATGAAAAATTCTCAAGAGGCGCTCCACCTTCACCGTCTGACCATATAAAGAACTTGACTACTTTTTTTTCCCGGTGGTCCCACGCTACTATGGAAAAGTTTCGCTCTTTTGAATTTTCCTGCTGCGATTTCGGACAATAGGTGCGTCGGGTGGGCCGGCGTGACAGATTCGATAATAAAATACGGCAAACTTTTTCAACTGAGCATTTCAACCGAAAACCGCTGGGACGTGATTTCTATACAACAAAAATAAATTCTTCGTCCCTGGCCGTGATTTTTATTCAAAAATATATCAATGGATACAATTTACTTTTAAATGATTTGCAATAATTTTTGTGATGTATTTTTTTTTCTTCTGCTTCTTTATAGGAGAGCAGAGGGAAAACACACGAAGGACGAGTGTATGATGGCACAGGAGAAGATGCACCCGACGTGTGCGCTGCGCGTACCGGCTGGCTCGGAGACGCCCACGTGCGACACCCTCGGCGAGAATTGCCGTAAAAATCCGATTTGCAGGTCAGCTGGAACACTTTTATTTTATCGTATTTAAATTTTGGACGTATGAGAAAGACACACGTTTAGGTCGTGGTTGCGAGATATGTGGTTCTCGGGGCTGGAAATTTTTTAATATTCGACGAATAACAGAAAGATGCCTGGAATGATCGCCAGCAAATTCCATAATAGTGCGAAATTCAAGGTGAATTCCGATGTGGAATAAAACGAAATAAAAAAAAAGAGGCCACGATGGAAAGCGGGAAAAATATGCGCTGATAAATTTTTCCACTGAACATATTTCTCACCTCTTCAGCACCTCTTGGATTCTTTCGATAAATTGTCCCTACCCTCTTTCATGCACCATTTTTTCCTCCACCTGTTTTCCGTCATTTTTCCTTGTACATACTCATACCCACACTTGGATGTAACCAAATCGTATTAATGCCGTGAAACTACATACATCTTTACATGTTACAATCAAACTCTCAAATATTTATGAAAAATAAGTGCGCTTTTTATTCGCATTGGAAATACAAAATAAAAAAAATCTCTTCAATGCTCTTCAGGACAAAGCTGGAGCATTACGAGCAGAGCTGCGCGATAGACAGCGTGACGAAGAAGTGCGCTGGTCCAGCGCAGACGTGCCGTACGGCGATGCTGGGCATCATAGGCACGGAGCTGCGCTCGAACTGCGTCTGCAGGAGCGCGGATAAAAAGGGAGTCGAGTCTACGTCGTTTTACGAGTGCCTAGGATGGCAGCGGCTGCTTTGGGTCAATCCTTGCGTTGGTGAGTGCACGTTTAAGTGGTTTTTACTTTAAATATGGGTAACAATGGTATCACCAATCATTGAATAATTCGAGTCTGGCCAAACAAGCAAAATAAGGATAGAGGCAGACCAGCATTTAAAGGTAGAACTGATGCATATATGGTGGTTGTGGTTTCTCTTTAAAATGTAACGCTACTTTTTCTTTGCTCTCGTGCCACTACTGCGCTCTTTCATCTAGTTCTGCTTGTATCTCGATCGCTTGAGTTGAGGGAAAAAAAAAAAAGCAACAGAAAGGAGCCAGACTGGAAACACGCACAAAGCTCTTCCGCTTCGGAAGCTCTTCCGGGAAATTAGAAAAATTCTTTTCTAAATCCCTTCCAGTCGTACACCACTAGTTTGGTACCTATACGAGGAGGAGGTGAGCGTAACGGCAAACGGAGGGCTTTTTCCCACTGGAAAGTTAAAACGAGTTCGGAGAGAAAGAGATGGAGCCAAGCTAATCGCGTCGAATAGGAGATCCACACCGTAAAAAAAGAAAAAATAATACCGGAAGACAATGATACGGATGAAAAAGTAGCACAGGATAAATGATAGGAAAAGGGATACTTGTCCGATCGTATTTTTTTTTTTTTTTTTTTTTTGGAAGACGAATCTTTGGTGAAAGATGTTGCATCGACATACTTCTATTTTCCTCCCTTTCTCCAAGGTTTAGATAAATCATTAAGATATTGTGGTACAGCGACAGCACCAGAAATGAAAAGTCGCGCGTAAAAATGTGAGGAATCTCTCGGATCTTTGACTATACGCTGCTGCTATTGTACTGCTGTCCAAGAGGCCGAGTATCACACAAAAATAGTGAAACATGGGTACACACCTACAGTGCAAGGGGTGAAAAGCAGAGGAACATCTCGTGGAAATTCAAAGGTGGTATCTCGTCAGTTTGATCGTCGACCCGATTCGGTCGCCAGACGCGAAAAATAACGAGCGATTCGGAATAGTGTGGAGTATTTTTCTCTTTATCCTTTCAGAGAGGACCCGTCCTTTTCTCTGGAGGAATAACTTTTTCCTTTTTTCCCTCGTCTTTTCCTTTTCTTTCGCTTTTCACTGTGAACTTGAGGTTGGAGATACTTTTTTATGTTCTACAATACACGACTGGTTGTACTACTGAAAAAGTAGACCGTCGTAAAAAAAAACACCACTTGATCAAGGGATCATTTTGAAGATGAAGTTTTTTAGTTGTTATTTTATTGTCGTTGCTTTTGATGTTGTTAAGAAGGGTGTAAAGGACGAGATTTTGGTATTCCTGCTCAGAAGGAATGAGATTGTTCGTGAAAAAACTCAAAATGGAGAAAAAATCTTAGGCTGACCAAATATTGATGTCGATCACTTTTTTCTTCGTCATTTTAAGAATAAATTTTTTTCCACGCAGTCGAGGTACAGAAGGACTTTCACGCGCGGCGGAACCAACACCACAATCACATAAGACCGACGATATCGTCCATCGAGCCAAGCCCCACGGAAGGAATGTCTCCAAGGAGGCCATCCTTGGCACTACCTTCCCCAGCCACCCCCAGAGTAACCCTCATCGCTGCCACGAGTCTCGGCCTCGCTGAATCCAAAACCGAAGGTGATCCTACGGAAACGGGCGAGTCGGAGGATAACGTCATACCCGAAGTCCAAACCGTCGGACAGATTCAACCCATGACCGAACCAACCATGACTACAATGAGTGACACGACGACTACGATTATGATGACGCCGATGACAACGACAATAGCGAGTACAGTTACTACTTCCATGGCGACAACGACTACCACAACTACGACGACAACTACAGTAGCGCCTACGCCGAGCACACCACCACCACGTGAGTAGTTTGTAAATTTACATGTATGCGTTGAAAAACTAATTCCAATCTATAAATTTCACAAAGTATATTAACGCGAGGGTCAAGTGATGTCAAATTATTGAAGCTATTTGAAACAAATTGGAAAATTAATAAGCCTGAGGAGATCGGGAGAGGGTCAAAGTACTTTTTGAAGGAATAGAGTTCAAAATTGCGTTGAGTTGGGCACTTGTCAATTTTTTGGCACAAGCTCAGTCGCTGATTGTTTGCCTCGTTTGTTTCGAGAAATACCTAATACGTCGAACGAATCTACTAGCGCATTTGACGTTCATGTAACTCCATTGTAATTTAAAAGAAAAAAAAAAAAAAAATTAAGAGTACATAAAAAAATTCGCTATTCATCTTAATGTTGAACAATAACGTAAAGTACGCGTTTTTTTACAATTTCTGGTAAGGAAATACAAAAACATATTCTACTCCCGAGAAATGTACTTGTAGAAACATGCGACAAAGCAGCCAAAAGGTGGAGTATGTATACTTAAAAAAGCGACAAAGAAATTCCGGGTCCACTCGTGCGCGCATTTTTTCCTGAGCATACAAAATGACGTGTGCGCGTGAAAAGCACAGACGAAAGCTTATTCGGAAAAGGAGGGACTGTACATACATATAGAGGCTTCAGACGTCGCCGACTGGGAGCCTTTGATCGCCCCACCGGCTTGGCTTGGCGAAGTGCCGATTGCGCTTTTGTCGCTTGAAGGGAAAAAAAAGGCTACGCCGGGGTAGGAACAAGCCCTATTTTTCTTAGCTGTGTATACTTGCTTCCGTTTGAAAAAAGTTTATTTCCATTTCACTCTGACTCGCTGCTGCAGTTTGTCTTTGATAATGGCTCGGGGTCTTGCACCGATTTCAGACAAATAGACGTGTTGTCGTTACTTTTTTTTTTTTACTTGTAGACTACGATTGAAATTTTGTCGATACTGATGTACATCAGATGGTGTGTCGATTGCAGACTTTGAAATGTAACCAGATTTTTTAATCATATGTATTACTGCAAATTATACATCGCTATTAAAGATAAATGAAGTTGAAGAGGCTCAAAAATGCAAAGTAAAAAATAAAGTGCTCCGGTTTTAAGGTAGTGGAAATTTTCATCCCTTGCTTTTTACCTGGTGGCATGAACCACCAGGCACGAAAATGATGAAAAATCGAAAAAACCACTTATGTGAGTATCTCATTCGTGGAAGTAGAAGACAAACTCTTAGTCGATAGTAAGAATGGAGGGGGGGATGGAGTATAAATATAGCAGTACGATTTTACGGTAGAGCCAAGTACATGTATGCCACTTTTGATCTCTTTACAGGTTACTGCATCGTGCAGAGGATGGGCCAGTCTCACCAGTATATCCGCGTGGGTAAGCTCAAGCGGGTAAGTTTTCTATTATTACATAGTTTTACTTCGACTATTTTAGTATTATCTCCAACTTGAGCACAATGTATAGGGACATTCCTTTTGTCTTTGGATTACACGGCTTGTAATAGATGCCTCGTGACTTGAGTTTTCTTTCGTTTTTCGTATGTTAGAAGATTGCTTTGATGAACCTCACTGTTTTCTTGACGTCAAGGGGTGTACTTACTGATTTCGAAACGGAGATGAGGGACAAACTTTTTTTATTTTGCCTTGACGTTTTAATGAGCAACCGTGTGTGTCCTAAAAAAGAGCTTTTGCAAGCTCATCTGTGCCACTGCAAAGATAATTTCCACCTCAGATTATAGATGTATGCACGTAGAGACCCACTAGTATCCTCCTCAAAAATAAATGTCCTTGTGCTTTGTTGGTCGGCACAGCTGTACCGGGAGGACGAGCCCGAGTGCTCGGAGCTGTGCCAGTGCGACGAGAACGAAAGCGCGACCTGCAGTGCCATTTGCGTCGAGACGTCGCCCTGCAAGACGGACTTTGCCTTCTACAATCACGCGGCACCTGCCTACCAGGCCTACCGTGGCCGATGCCTCTGCTACAGCGGCCGCTTCATCTGCATGAGACCCGCCCCCGGTGAGTACCACCACTGCCTTTCACTTCATTCGCTGGAACTACTCGGTGGTAGTAGTATACACACCCCGACGCCAATTAGTATTTATTATTCCTACGCCACAGGTGACCTCGACGGTGTTTAATCACTACAGGACACGCTCTTTTTTTTACGTCCATCTCCTTTTTTTTCCTTTTCTATAATTTACTCAAGCTTGGATTACTTTTGCGGAGTGTACATACATTTTTTACGACTACGATGGAAAACAAAAATTGAGAGTATACTATTATTGGGTTTCTGTTAACTCTGAGTTCGTTAGATTGGAGTCTAGATGAAGCACTATTGTGTAAAGCTACCGGCATCATTGGGTGGTCTCATTAAAATTTTACTGGGCATGCAGGTAAAAAAAAAAAAAAAAATCATAAATTAATACCATTTCTGTGAAATTAGTGAATTTTGTGTAAACCTTTTATTATTAATAAACGAAACATTAAACTTATTCTTATGACAAAAGTCACTTCTTCTTCTCAATGCACTTTGAAAGGTAATTTTACTAGGTCTCGAAGAAAGTCTCAAACATACTCTTGTTGAGACCATTCGTATTTAACCAAAAAATCAATCATTATTATCAGATTTACAATTTTTATTTTTAGTTTTATTTATCAAATACTTAAATAAAATACAAAATATGTAAGCATGATAATAATTAATACTTGAAACATACTCTAAAAATGTAAAGTGTATATAGATTTTGAACAAAAAAAAAAAAAAACTGCCTGTACATAAGGTTTTATCGATTTTGTTTCCATGCACTTGAAACTGATATTTCCAGCGAAAAAATTATTACAAAGATTTTTCTCTCTCGTCGAGTACAGGTTTCTCAGGGTAACCATACAAGTGTACGGTTACCCTGATCGTTCAGAAGCAAAAAAATCGAAATAAAAACCTCAGAGGGTTTTGATGATTTTATGGTTTATTTTTGAAACAGCAATTCGTATTTTATCAATACTGTGATCGATCAAAAAAAAAAAAAGTTCCAAAAAATTTATTGATAACAGAGGCGTACAATATACCACACGGAGTCTTCATGTTCCTCGGGTACAGCGAAACTGACGAGAACTTGCTCAAACCCCACCACAACCTAACCGTCATAGATGCCGTGTCTTCCCTCGACAGTTTTATGAGAGAAGAAGTCAATAACCAGGTAATCACCACTACTCACTTCAGTACCATTTCGTGATATGTTTACTATACCATTTATTTCCTTTAAAAAAAAAAAAAAAAAAAAAAAACAAAAAAAAATGTTTATCTGTTTCCAAACAGACGATGTGCACAATCTTCCTGTACAACGTGACGAAGGAGAATGTCATCGCGGTCGCCCGGCTAATGACGGACGGCTCGTCCAGCAACAACGTCTCGCAAGCACAGAGCCTCAAGCATCTCCTACGCGTCAAGGTAAGTGTCCATACTAACTTGTTCTTATCTTCCATGTAATTTAGATGACACAGAAAAAAATACGATACAGATGTTCACTATAAGAATTACTCTCAAAAACAGTAAAAAATAATTACACTTACCAGAGAACCGCTAACTACGTTCTCGAGATCTTGCTCCCGATGACTATGAAAAAAACGGGAAATTTAATTGAGTGCACATACACTAACACAAAAAAGAGTTCTTGCTTCGTATACATTTTTTGCGTCATAACAGTGGCTCTATATATGTGCTTTACCTCTGTTAATATTATATTTTTCAAGCTGTTCATAATCTATTACTTGCATATTGTATGCAAATCACGTGGTACAGCTTATTACAGGTTTTATAGTACAAACAAGTTAGTTTACTGTACATACACACGAAGAAGCCTTTAGTGCAAATGTAGAATGTGGCAGGTAGGTGCACAATTGTGTAAACGGTGAACATGCAGCTCAGGCACGTAAAGTCAATCGACTGCAAAATAACGCGATTCCGGGAGAGTGGAAAAATTTATCAATTTACGACCACTCAACCGATGGCTGCACGTATAAACATGTACTATACTGTACGTTGTGGTTTTTTTTTAAATTTCACCTCACTACTTTTCGAATTGAAGGTAAAAAAAAGGCTTACTCGGTGGCCACTTTTGTTGACTTTTTCGCCTCCCCTCACCAATTCCGCTTCGACGCCTATTTGGACCAAAAAGTGGCTTTACCTACCAATCGTCGGTGGCACTTCATTTTTAATTAACCAATCAATAGTGCCAAGCGAAAATTCTCGTTTCGACAATACTCGCCGATGGCCTACTTTTTCCCCCGAAACATTATACTTGCTTGTCATGTTAGAAAATTTTATGGAAATTAAAAAAAAAAAAAAAATAATTGCTTCAATTCCAATCAAAATCTTCATACCGATAAAATAAAATAAAAAAAATAAAACAATTGTTAAGCGTATATCNGCCAGTTTGAAGCCTCAAAAGCCACGGAAGGGCCCCGATATCCTCAAATTCGCGAGTCTTGGACTCTGGACGGGAAACCGCGGCCTCCGGCACATTTGCTGCTGCTAATCACTTTCTAATAAAGCAATTACGCGCACAGACTTCAAAGCTAGCCCCCTATCCTGGAGGAACCAGGTACTGAGATTAACAAACAGAAATCGATAAAATCGACAAGGTAAACTAAATTTGGTGATAACGTGGTTTGTGGCTCATGCAACTTCGAATTTCACATCTGGGCACTAATTCATGCAGATAAATCCAATTGTGGAACTAGCAATGTTTGCAAGCGTACACTCGTGTTTCGGATCAAAGTATAAGAATTTCTTGTGATCATATATTACTGATTATAGTATTAAATTTACAGTACTTGAGAAATAACCAAATCGATGGGTGTTTTACTTTTGAAACAGCTCTACCGAATCTTATAATTCTCTGCAGTAAAAATTAATTTACGAAGACTCCAAAAGGTAAAGTAATATATTACATATTCAATTTACTTACCCCTCAATAAATTAAAATTTTAAATAGAAATTGAAGTTGAAAAAAAAAAAAAAAAAAAAAAAAAAAAAAAATACGTTCAGTTTATAGTACCGGTATATATTTTTGTCGTACATGAAAAAAAAAGAAAAAAAAGAATTTCAGTTATGTGTTCTTAACCTTCATTTTGACACACTTATTAGACTCACACCGGCTTATACGGAAATGAGAACTTGATCGGACTTCCAGCACCTCTTCCAGTTACGATAAAAATAACGAAGCTGCATGATGACATATGTATTTTAGCAGTTAGCCAGTGATTGTCAGACGCAGGGAGATCACATCTGAAATGACATCAACATTATCTTCCTTCCGTTTCTCTCCAAGTTGTACTTTTCTATAGCCCGTTATTTAGTTCCAAAGTCACTCACTTGTGGGGACGAAATAAGACACATATCAAATTATTGGATGTATTAACTCACAAGAAAGCCAACAATGGGGGAAACGCATCGCCGAGGAATGTATATGGCAGCAGTAATGACACTTCCATCTAAGCTCGAGCGGAGTTATGGCTCACGTGGCTATAGAATCCAGCGATAATAAAGGATTAACGTCGCGAGGAATGGGTGATTTTCTTTTTTCGTAAGGGATCGCCCTTTTTCAAACAGGAATGTGTTGGCTTACGGATATGGATTACATGTTTGATTGATAGTCGGATATTGGAGCGTAATACGTGGATTAAAAAAAGAGGTTTATTTTTTCAATTTAGAAATATACGTCTGAGTAAAATAGTCACTTGCACAAACGCGTGATCGTTAAATTTAGGATAGTAAATAAAACTTCAGTAGTTAGGGTATGCGTATGGTCAGCCCACCCTCGTACGTTTGAATAAATATTCACTATGATTAAAATCAATTCGGATCATATCGTTTTTACTGAGACAATTTTTTTCTGGGATTAGCTATTTGATGGCTAATAAAAACTCTATTGTGAATCTTGAATTGTGTAACTATTCATGGGCTAAATCTTGCCTAGACTTTATAATGTTTTGGGTTTGCTAACGTGGCTCTGCTGCACTCCACTAATTTTAATATTATTCCAAAAATTTTCACCATAGAAGTGTGTGAATTATTACCGCAGTTGATAGTAATTGATACAATTTATTTGGATTTTAAATTTATTACTATAAGCAAGGAGTATGGATTCTCGAAACTCTTTATAGTAGTAAAACATCACTTCAATGTGTGTTGTTACTTTATTCGCGATAAATTTATTTGACTTGTAGTTTCATAGAATTTCTGAATATCTTAAAATTACTGTCCCACACGGATGGGCGATTAGTTTGTCCTCCCACGTTTTAAATCAAAGACAGTAGTGGAGAAAAAGGGAAGCAGCTTCGCGAAAGTAGATGATAGATCTCGAAAAATATTTAAAGTACCATAAATCTCGTCAAGCATATTTATGAAGGCAAAAAACGCAAAGTTTGCAGGTGCAAGAAAACGTGCTGTTAGACACGCATTGGTGGAAAAGTTCGCCAATATGAAGGGAAAGGAGGAAAAGCCGCTTTTCGCGAAATCGATCGCTGCGACCATTGTACCCCATCTCTCTCAGCTTTTACTATCTCCTGATCCTCTTTTCGCGTTTCTGTTTTTGTTGAGCAGCTTGGCTCTACCTCGCACCTTCCAAGTCTTTTTTTTTTTTTTTTTTTTTTTTTAATTGAAATTAAAACAGATGAGCTGCACTGAAATTCATAAAGAAACTTATCAGTCGTCAATGTCCTTTGGAATTAACGAGTTTACAGTTTGATGGGCCAAGAGATTAATTGAAGTTCCCAACTCAATTACCATCGCCCTACTTTAAATAAATGGATACTGATTGTTCCTCGCTTTATTTACTTTTTCATTGATCTTTTCGTACAATATCTTGAATTGAAGTTATTTATTCATAAGCACAAAAATGAAAAGAAAAAATAACTTTAACGCAAATCAATGAGAAGGCTGTCCCCTGAGAACGGGAAAAACAAAAAAAGAAGCGATAAGAAAAAACGCGGTGATTACAGCAGTCGAAGGAACGTACGAAATAAATCGAGAGCAGCCGATAAGCGAGAGAGTCATAGTGTAGACATTTTTTTCCGGGGGGATGAAGCACAAAAGTCGTTGAGGTAAGAAGCACACGTGGATTTTCATCCCATAGATTGTGGGGAAAAAGAAGAATCGGTCGTTGCCACAGTGATCTTCTGTTTCTACAGGAGAAGGTGGAGATTCCTCCCTCCCGTTTGCTTCCAAACGATATCATCGCCGAATAACTAAACCACTTTTTCCTTCTAATGTTTGCTCAACCGAAGAAGAAATAAGAAAAAGTCTCGTCAATCGACGAAGCCACAGAAAGTATAACATAGTGGCAGAGGCAGCTGGTACTTTGGTAGGGAAGATATACTTGAAGTAAGAAGTTCAGTCGAAAAGTTGCGCTACCTAAACTTGGTGTCTGTGCACCTCTCAGGGTATCCATTTATGTTTGTATGGGCGTGTGTTAACGCTCCAAGGATCTTTGATGGCTTCACGACATGAGATCTCAGTTTGCTAATTGGAACACTTGCATCGAAAAGCCAAGAAGAAGAAGAAGAAGTATTGGAGTTTCTTTCTCTTGTTCATATTAATTACTTCGAACACAAATTATAAGTTGTAAATAGTTGAACATATTATGTGTGATATATAGATTTTCAAAAAAGGGTGGAAAAATATCAACGAACATCGTTTTTAATTGATCAAATAAATATTTTAGGATGATATAATTTTTTATTGATCATTTAAAGGAAAAAAAAATATTCACGAAATTTTTTAAATTTTAGAAAAACACAACTTTTTGTACAGAAAATGAAAAATTTCTTGCTCTGAAGACAAATGAATACTAATCATGTGTTATATATACCATAGCTTAAGTCTTTATATAATTTAAGATGATTTTTGTACTTATAACCGTATTTAAAAAGGTAAGAAAAGTAAAGCAGCAGCGAGAAAGGAGCATACAAAAAAATAGCTTGGCTCAGTAAGACGACGACTCCATTGTTTTTATTGGCTGTATGTGGGTATATACATATTTTTTGTATCTGTAATGTTCAATACGCCGTTTTTAAACGAAGATCAAAGAAGAAAAAAAGGATAGTCTGAAGGCACGCGACGACAGAAAAGCAGAGGATATCGAAAAGTAGATTGTAAGGACATCACAATGAAAGTTAGGAGTGAAATCAGCGGAGCAAGTCGGTAAAGGGAAGGAAAGGGGAAGTAACACAATACAGCTAGGGAAAAAAGAATGGGAAGGAAAGAGAGAGAGAGAATTTACCTTTTCGTAAAGGAGTTACATGGAAATGAATGAAAAGTCACGAAAGAGAACCAACAGCAGAAGAGGGACATGGATCGATGCTCGGGAATGCAGAAGGTGGGAGGCGCATGTGGTGGCACCTCCGTTGGCCCAATGCCAGATGTGTGCCTATGTGCCCCTTCTCACC